AATAGTCGAATAAATAAATGAATCCTATGCTCATAAAAGCCCAGTGAGATGCTATATATTTTCCCATCCCATTTCCCCCAACCTATTATTTCAAGAAATCTCAAATTGCAGAAAAGCAGCAAGAAGAGTACTATTCACCCACACTCACCAGTTGTTGAAATTTTACCTCATTTTCCTTACCTCTGTATTTTTCCCTTTTTTTGAGGGGGTGGAAGGGCATGAGGAGCTGATCATCTGGTACTTAATTTCTAACATTTTCACACTTGGCCTCTAAATTTTTCAGTATGCATCTCATGCATCTTTTAAGAACAAGAACATTTTCCTACATAACCATAATAAAGCTATCACAGTCAGGAGATTAAATATCAATAAAATGTTATCTAATATGTACCCTTTTCAGATATTCCCAGTTGTTCTTTATAGCTCTTTTTTTTTTTTTTTTTTTTTTTTTTTTGCGGTACGCGGGCCTCTCACTGTTGTGGCCTCTCCCGTTGCGGAGCACAGGCTCCGGACGCGCAGGCTCAGCGGCCATGGCTCACGGGCCCAGCCGCTCCGCGGCATGTGGGATCTTCCCGGACCGGGGCACGAACCCACGTCCCCTGCATCGGCAGGCGGACTCTCAACGACTGCGCCACCAGGGAAGCCCAGTTTCTTTTTTTTTTAAATAATCTTTCACCACACTGACATTTTAAAGAGTTCAGGCCAGTGGTTTCGCAGAAGTCCCTGAATTTGGATTTGTCTGTTTCCTCCCACGTGGATTCAGGTTAAATACATCTGGGGGCAGGAGGACTTGGTGGTGTTGTAACCTCAGAGCATCAGAGGTCAGAGGTACCATGTCAGGTGCTGGAGATGTTGACCCTGATCGCTTGTCAGGGAGATGTCTCCCAGGTTCCTCCATTGTCAGGGCACCTTCTCCTCTTCAGGATAAGGAATCCATGGGATGATGTTTTAAGGCTCTGAACGTTCTGTTTCCTAAGTCTTTCGTTAGCATCCATTCCTGAGATGTTATTTGCCACTTTCAGACAAAGCTTAAAAAGGGAGCTGGCCAGGTCTCAGGTGCCAGTCTTCCCACTGTGACCATCTCCTGAGTCTCCTACTCGGTGGTTTATCTTTTATAAGCCACTCATCCTTTGCCCACCCTCACATCTGCATGCAGACATCTGTCTTAGAAATCATGGTTCTATTCATCTCATCAGGTTCTTTCTTGGGTTGGATTCTCTAGAAACAGAGCCAGAGACAGGGCTTATAGGATGGGATGGGGAGGAAGCCAGGCAAAGATGTGGGGTCAGCAGGGGTGTTGCCTCTGCCTGACCCCGCAGGGAGCTCTGAAGTGGGACTAGCACCCCAGACGCGTCCCACTCATAGCAGCAGGGGCATGGATGCCTGGTTGGTAAAGGCGGTCTAGGCGGGCAGGGCGCCAGCAGCATCCACTATAGTTTCAGTATTTCCCTCATTAGTTCTTTCCCAAGGCTTGTCCCCATAAGCCGGACAAGCGTGAGCTTAGTCATTTGCAAAGACAAGGTCTAATTTATGGTTGCTCCTTTATGAGGCCCCATGAATCTTATTCACCGCCTTCCTGTCTGGGCCGTGGTTTTTATATTTTTTTCTTTTGCGGTACGCGGGCCTCTCATTGATGTGGCCTCTCCTGTTGCGGAGCACAGGATCCGGACGTGTAGGCTCAGCGGCCATGGCTCACGGGCCCAGCCGCTCCGCGGCATGTGGGATCTTCCCGGACCGGGGCACGAACCCATGTCCCCTGCATCGGCAGGCAGATTCCCAACCACTGCGCCACCAGGGAAGCCCTGGGCCGTGGTTTTTAAAGGTGAGGTCGGTTGTCAGAACAAAGTCTTTATAGCTTCTTTTTTTGGGGGGCGTGGGGATCTCTCTCACTCTTATATTTCTTTTTTTTTTTAACATCTTTATTGGAGTATAATTGCTTTACAGTGTTGTGTTAGTTTCTGCTGTATAGCTTCTTAACAACTGGATGAGCAGGATGGGCCCTTCTAAGGAAGGAAGAGGTGTCAACTTTCAGCACGTGAGTGTCAGGATTGCCGTGTTACAGGTGGTAGAATTTGGTCTTGGTAAAATATCGCCAACTTGAGATGGCAGGCCTGAAATATATCTTTATTAGAGTTCCCAGAACTCTTTCAATGGCTTGTTACCTGTCTCCCCTCCCCTGCAAAAAAAAAAAAAAAAAACCTAATTGGGTCTGAGTTCAAGTACATATTTTGCTCTTAGGTCTCAAGCACGTGCTCCTCAGGTTCTGGGACTGGCAGCATCAGCGTTACCCCAGAACCTGCTACAAATGCAGAATCCTAGGCCTACTCTGGACCCGCAGAATCAGAATATCTGGGGCTGAAACCAGGAAGTGTGGCTTCACATCCCCCAGGAGATTTCTCACCCAGGCTCAAGCGCTGATGCAAAGCAATGGTTGTAAACTTGGCTGTACCCTGTTTAGGTCTCCTGGGGAAGCTAAACCATTCTGATGTCTGCGTTCTGCCCCAAAGTGTCTGATTTATTTGATCTGGGGGTGCAGTCTAGCCATCACAAAAATTTAAACTCCCCAGGCGATTTTCATGGGCAGCCAGGGGTGAAAATCACTGCTGTAAAGTTGCCTGCCTTACCTCATGGGAAAGGAATTTTAACACCAGCTTCATTTTGAAGAGTTTGTTCCTAGAGCTGCAAAGATTCACTTCAAAATACCTGGAGGCCCTGGAATGGCATTTCCAGAATGAGGAACTGCCCTCTCTGGGCACAGATGGTCCCATCTGGAAAACTGCAGCAGCAGTAAAGAAAAACACTCATATATCTGAGAGCAGAGGAAATGTAAATCTTGAATGGGAACACAAGATTCTTTAGATCTGGAGCGAGTCAAGAGGTGATGGAGAGGGTGTGTGTGGGGGTGTCTCTGGCGGCCCTCGTGCTGTCATCGTGGGAGGCTGTTTCTGAGCCTGCATGCCCCAAAATGTTCACTTAGGTGGGCTTCCTCTTAGGGGTGGAGTGGTCCACATGGGGGGTGACACACTTCCTTTCCCCCCCTCCCCTTCATCCAGAGCCACCACCTGTCTTTCTCACTGTTAAAGCCTTCCTCCAGGCCATACATTTGGGTCTATTTGGGTACAGACATTTGAAGATGAACTCGGCCATGCAGTCATGGATGCTCAGGCCTGGTGGTCCCACTGGCTGTTCCAGGGCCATGTTGATGACCAGCTCATGGAGAGCTCTGAGCGTGGTAGAAGGGAAGACACCCCAGAGCTTAAGCAGCCTTGGGCAGGGGTCTCCACCCTCTCTCGACAGAGGCCTGCCCTTGGGCAGGCTCCTCAAGGAAGGAAAGAGCCTCCTCTGTTCCTCTTTTTGAAAACTGGGATTCTGGCCCCTCCTTTCAGGGCTACCATGAGGAAGAGATGAGAAAATATTTACAAAGGTTTGGCCAACAGTTGGCACCACGTGGATACAAGCCTTCCCGTGTTCCCGATCTCACCTGTTACTTGCAAAGTTGGAGGAACACCAGACCTCTGGAATTTGTACCTCTGCCATTCCATGGCTGTTTATTACTCTGGACAGCTCAGGAGCTTCTTGGGAAGGCTTGTTCAGTTTCCTCATTTGTAGAATGGGGATTAAATACTCAGTAACAGGGTTAGGGTTGGGTGCCAAGGGAGATGACGGACATCAATATGGTATCTTTTTTTTTATAAATTTATTTAGTTTTGGGTACATTGGGTCTTCGTTGCTGCATGCGGGCTTTCTCTAGTTGCGGCGAGCGGGGGCTACTCTTCGTTGCAGTGCACGGGCTTCTCATTGCGGTGGCTTCTCTTGTTGTGGATCACGGGCTCTAGGCGCGAGGGCTTCAGTAGTTGTGGCTCGCGGGCTCTAGAGCGCAGGCTCAGTAGTTGTGGCGCACGGGCTTAGCTGCTCCGTGGCATGTGGGATCTTCCCGGACCAGGGCTCGAACCCGTGTCCCCTGCATTGGCAGGCAGATTCTCAACCACTGCGCCACCAGGGAAGTCCAATTTTTTTTCTTTTTTTTTTTGAGATTTCATACATGCCATGCAGTTCTGTGGTTTTCAGTATTTCACAAAGTTGTACAGCCATGAGCTCACTTCATTCCAGAACAGTTTCGTTACCTCAAAAGAACCTCCATTCCCATTAGCAGTCATGAGATACCCCCACGCCACTCCCCATCCCCCAGCAGCCACTAATCTTTCTGTCCCTATGTTTTTACCTAATCTAGATATTTCATATAAGTAAAATCAGTACACTATTGTGTCCGGCTTCTTTCACTTAGCGTGGGGTCTTCAAGGTTTATTCATTTCGTAGCATGGATCAGTGCCTCACTCATAAAAACAATGAATGAGTATAATGGCTGAATCAAATTCCATTGTATGGATATACCACATTTTATTTATCCATTCTTTAGTTGATGGAGATTTGGGATGTTTCCACTTTATGTATGGCAATTATGAATAATGTTCATATGATTTTATGAATAGCACAACACACCATTCAAGTGTGGTTTTCTATTGGAAGTAATATGGTAATGAAAATGAAAGTGCCTGGAAAGAAATGAAATCCAGTTCTCTGGGTACAAAATGAGTGTGCGTGAGTGTGAGTGTTTGTCTTTGCTTTTGGTGCTTGCCTGGTCATGCTCTTGATTTCACGGTTACCCTACGGAATTTAGCATTTAGGGTGTTTGGCTCAAAGTAAGAAATATTCTATGGCAGAAGACAGAGTAAACAGCATTTAGGATGTTTAGAACCTTGTGAAAACTGGGTTAGAAGTAGAAGGTTGGGTGTGCTGAGTGTTGTTGAGTGCTGTCTGTAACGTTAGAGATAAAGAGTGAACTAGAACTTGGTGTCTGCCCCCGGAAAGCTTTCAGTCTGGAGGGGAAGGCAAAGGAGGTGGTGATGACAGGACAGCCCGGTCGAGGAGACCGAGAGATGCTGTCCTTGTGTGGGGGATTGTGCCGCAGCCGTTTGACCCCTGCCAATTCTCTCTCCTAGCATGGTGAGACACAAGGACGATGGCTACTCCGAGGAAAAGGATGTGAAGACCTGTCCCCGGGACTCTGGCTACGACAGCCTGTCCAACAGGCTCAGCATCTTGGACCGGCTCCTGCACACCCACCCCATATGGCTGCAGCTGGGTCTGAGCGAAGACGAGGCGGCAGGAGTCCTACGGGCACAGCCTCCGGGGGTAAGACTCAGTAGCGGGAAAGTAGGTGGAGGTGGGCAGGGCTGCCGCTTCCTTAAAGAGAAAGACGTGGAGTTTCAGAGAGCTCTTCCCAGCCTTCAGGGAGCACGGTTCCCAGTGTGTACCTCGTTACACTGCAGAGAAATTCTGGAAATTCTGGAGGCAGCTCCCAGGAACAGAGCCCTTCATGATTTGTCTTTCTGCCTTCCTCTGCCCGGTGACCATGTGTACCTAGGTGTGCAGGATAACCGGGCACCTGGGTCCTGAGGAGGCGCCGCTGGCTGGAGGCCCTGGACCTACCTTCTGGAGATCTGACGTTGGGGATGAGTCTGGTTGTGGAGTCCTCAGTTGCCCCTGTGGTTTTCCTTTCAGTATGAGCCTGGGAACCCTGCCAGGGCCCAACCATCCAACATGGGACCCAATCTTCAAAAGTTCCATGTCCGTAGTCTGTCTGCTCTGGCTGTCAGTGTAACCCCTCCTTTCCTTGGATTGTCTCAGGGACAAATCAAAGTCCAGTTGGGTTTTTTCAGCTCCCCCCTACCCAAGGCCAGTCTCATCTTACTCAAGCCCACTCCATGACGCTAGAGAAGTTTGTCAGAAAATGTTATTCAGTGATGGGTAGGTATTTCCTGTGCTGTCTGTCATGGTAGCCGCTTGCCTCATGTAGCTATTTAAATTACATTAATAAAATAAAATAGAATAAAAACTTCGGTTCCTCAGTGGCATTAGCCACATTTTAAGGGCTCACTAGTCCCAGGGGTTGGTGGCTACCATATTGGGTGGATAGCTCAAAGTAGTGAACATTTCCACCATCATAGAAAGTTCTACTGGCCGGCACTTGTGTACAATGTCTGCTTCCAAAACAAGGATAAATACAGTAAATCACAGATGAAATAATACTGGAAACAACACACAACAAGAGATAGAAACTAAGAAATAGATGGAGAGGCAAGGAGAAAATTCCTTCAGTAGCTGGCTGAAGAATGTTGTAACAGTCGGGCACAAAAATAAACTTTTAAGTTTCCTATCAGCCAGAGCTTGTCAGTTATCACTTTTTGACTTGTAAGTGAGTCTTTGTTTCTCATCTGACAGAAGCAGACAGGACTAAGCCCTCTGTTGGAACACACTGAGGGTGACAAGCGCAGTATTCGATCATCTCTGCAGAGAATTCCTTGGCCAGCGTGCCGGGTTGTTGCCCTTGGTTTTGGTCTATATGATCAAGAACCCCTTCTGTGAGGCCCCCACTTTTTTCAGGCTGAGTTGTCTGCTCTGGTATTTCTGCAAAAAATTCTAAAGAGGGAGGTTGCCATGTTGCTAGGCAACAATTCCCCTCCCGGCCCATCCCCGCTCCTGGAGTCAGGCACGT